CCTGAAGAAGTGCTGTCTTACGAACACACACATCTATTTTATTGCTTTTTTCCGCTTTAATGTTTGTTTGAATATCTGAATTAAATTGAGCAAAATTTGGTTCCAGCTGCTTTAGGCGCTTTTCCATTTTGATTTAATGTTTTAATAGTTAATTTACTTCTATTTATCTTTTTTGCTGTTGTAAATTGAATTCTTTTTCTGATTAGAATGCTGAGTATTGCTTATTTCTCATACCTTGGCCTATGAATTCAATGATCCTTATTAATTGTTTCGTTCTACAGAGCTTTTTGCCAAATCCAAATTGCTCATCAGGTAGTAGTTGTAATTTGTCTTCTATTCTATTGTAGATAATTCTTTCGAAAATTTTACTTAATGTGGGCTAATTGGTCCATGGTTGTGGGGCATTGCAGGATCTTTTAGGGGGTTTTGGGTATAGAATGATAGTTGCTTCCTTCCATTTATTAGGGAAGTAGCATAGCTTGAGGCAAGAATTATTGATATTTGATAGGTAATCTTTTTTTTTGGGAGGTTTTTAATCATTTTATTAGTGATAGTGTCACCACCAGGTGTTTTTCTGGGTTTTAGTCTTTTAATAAGATTCATTATTGCATTATTATCTGTAGGGTGAATACTATGATTAATTTTTAAATTTTTCAAGAAATTTCTGTTTTCTTTAACGACCATGTCTTCGAAATCATCGTTACAATGTTCCTTGTTTTCAGAAAATTTTTCTTCCATGGTATCAGCAAATGCTTCTGCTTTTTCTTCTGGAGTAAAAACGAGCCCTCTTTTATCATGGATGGGTTCATTAATTGTTTTTGTTAATTTAAGTGATTCAGTAAGCTTATGTAGGGAATTATCCGCAGTATTTATTAATTTCAGTTTTTCTTGCCAGGTTTCATTTCTATGTTCTAGGCATTGTTTTTTAATTTGTTTGTTTAATTTATTAACTTGAGTTTTTAATTGTGAATCAAATGATCTACTCCACATCTTTTTTATTTTGTTTCTATATTTTATGAGTTGTTTAATGTATCAAACTTTAAGTAGTTGATTGTTGAATGTATTAATGGAATTATCAATATCATTAGTTATTTAGTAGTAATTCATTCATATTGTTTTCTTCGAGATAATTAGTGTGATTTTGCCAATTAGTGATTTTTATGCTATTCTGGTAATTATTAATATTTTGTGCTATAGTGGCAAAAAGAAGCCACTTAGCCACTATTTTGAAATCCTCTCCCTTGGGAGTAGCATTTAATTCATTTGGTAGCGTCTCTACCGCCGCCATCTTGTTTTCGTTAACAATGGATTTATTTAATCCATTATAGATATCAAAGCTAATGCTTTTTTGCTCCTTTATTGGTGATGACTCATTTTGTACTGCAAAGCTTAATTGAGTACGTACAAAATTAAATATGATTTGAGCAGCTTGTAGCTGATTACAGATATCAGGAGTTTGCTCTCGTGAGTTTAGATCACTCATCACCTTATATAGGTACATAAATTCCTCACTTACACTTTTATGTCTGGTTTTAAAACCCAGATAATCAAATGATTGTTCATTATTCGCCATAATGATAGTGAAAACTGATACTAAGCTCAATAATTTATTCCGACTACCAGTTGTACCTTGTTGTGAAAATATGTGCCGCTCGAGCACAGGAAAATTCCATACAGCTCTAAATAAATGGTAGTGTTGAAAGAAATTAGCTACACAGTAACCGATTCACCTATTAAAAGATATTTCAGACTACACCACATGGGCCTTGTTGTGTAGTCGAAATGGCTTTGTGAATGATTGTCTAAGATAAAAATACAAGTAATGCAATTAAATTAGGAAAAATATCAAATACCGTGATCAGTAGAGAAGATAATAATCAATCAGCATAGGAGAGCACAAGTCTTTAAAAGACATAATAAGTAAAGATTGGTGGTCTTGAAAAAGACCATTGTTTTTGAAGTATTCCAAAGCTGGTACGTAACTCATAAGCTGGTAGCCGGCACAGGCAGGGATCAACTATCGAAAAGTAATCCATGATCGCCTTCTGGCACAGAGGCTAAGAAAGAAATGAATGACCAATTAGATGATTAATATCTCATATAATTAATATCTCAACGTAAATAAAGCGTAATTTTTGCCATGTTTGAGTTTTATCTCTTATTTGGCTATATTTGTATAAAATATAATTTTTTGTGCCTCGTCGTAGCATGCATGTAGAGTCTTTCAAATTCATTTGTTGTTTGCTTCGTTGAAAGTTAAATAGAAAGAATACGTTGAATTGTAAACACTACAAATATAATAACATTGAATAGCGCGCTTTTTCAAGCTTAAGCGTTAAGACAAATCGGGTGTAGTAATCTAGAAATCTTACGATGAATTTTAACTCCTGTCGCCTCTTTCATTGTCTTTATACGGTGTGAGAGAGATGTTTATTGGCTACAGGCAAGATTCGAACCAAGAACCTCTGGAGTCTCATTCGGATGCTTTAACCACTACAGAAAAGGGTACACATTCCAGTCCAGGGTGACTTAGGAAGCCTTTCATATACAGTTGCCCAGCTTGTGGTTATCCATCCTATATATAATAAGACAAAGTAATTGAAAGGCTCATATGAAACACTAGTTTTGCAGTTCTCAACAGTTTTTTTTTAAGAATAATTTGTACAATTCGAAACAGTTGGCATATCTGTGTATGTATAAAGGGCCCGTGCTAAGCATTCGCCTCCTCGCCAAATACGACAGAATCGTGAATTCGGTGAAACGAATTTTTGTTATGACAAGAGTATTGGCGAGCGATCTTTTCTACCGAACAGAAAAATATGTTTCCCTCGGTCCTGAAAATTAACGTTAATATAAATTTTAATTCGAATCTAATTAGAATTATATTAAGTTCAGATAATGTAAGCAACAGGCTAAAAATAAACTGTAAAATACAAATGGAAACGTGCGTGAGAACTAAACGTCCTTGAGAAGTGAGAAATAAATTCCTCAATCATGAAATTGCAAATATCAAATCCTTGATAAACGTGGTCTAGAGATTTGCAGGAATGAAAAGAATGCAATCTTTTTCAAAAATCTCAGTTCGGGGATTATTATTATTCATTTTGCCGCTATTCGACGTAATGGTGATAGGTGGCGAGATCCCTGATTTTAAATGACCTCAATTTACTGTCGACCTGATAATAATCATTTATACAAATCTTTTTAGCGTTTTTTTTAAAGAATATGCCAGGGCCGAGATAGCCTGGTTGGATGGGCACTGGGCGAATGCCTGAGTGTTCGTGGGTTCGATCCCAGGCCAGCTGAAGACTCCCCATGTAGTAAATGGTGACTGATGCACGTTAAATCTGTCGAGTCTCAAAGTCTTCCATGTTCCCATAACAAATCAATACCTCAGGAGGTACTGATCTAGGAGTTTCCTTGTGTTCTGGATTGGTTCAAAATTACAAGGATATGGAGTTGAACATTAGTGGTCATAAACTTAAAATTGGGTCGGCTGTTCAACGACGGGTATAATAAAAATAATACCCCAGAGCCGTGATGGCTCAGGGGATGGTGCGTCCGCCTTCCAATGAGGTGAACAGGGTTCGAATTTCAGCTATGGCTGGTTTATACGGATTCCGCACCCGGCTTGCACCGACCAGAATGCTGACGTAAAATAGCCGCAGTGGTAGACGGATGATGGGTCAGAGTCCCCAGGCCGTCAGGCTAACAGTGGGAGGTTTTCGTGGTTTTCCTTTCCATGTAACGTAAATGTGGGTTAGTTTCATCAAAAAATCCTTCGTGTATATGTTTATTCATAACTCGACCTGCCTTATTTAAGGGCATACGAGTGTAGATTCATAAAACATATATTATACACACATAAAACATCAGAAATTATATAAAATCACAGAAATTTAAAATCACAGATGTCAGTGGCAACAGCCCGACAGAAAAAAATACAGCATTACAAGTAACAACACAAAAAAAGGAATAACCTCAATGACATCTGCCAAAACTGAGCCATTATAAAAAAATAAATAAATAAATAGATTAAAATCCAATACGATCCCTTACGCAATTAAAAAAATCAAAAGAATACAATACAAAAAATTTAAAATCTCAAGAAGGAACGATAAAAAAGGTCCCAAAGTTAAAAAGAAACATAATAACAACATACACTAATACAAAGGACTAAGTAGTTAAAAACATGACCTATAACCGGGCCAAGACAAATAAAAAAAAAAAAAAAAAAACTATAGTTAAAAATTTAAAAACTCAAAGTCTAAAATTAGTAAATTTATAAAAATAAATAATAAAATAGTAAAACATGATACGGTTGAGACACCCAAATTAGAGGCCGTGGATTCTGAATTAATCCTTCGTGTATATAAATTTCTACCAATGATCCACGAGTTCCTTTGTCTTCTGGATTGGGTTCAAAATTGCAATGCTACAGAGTTGAACATGGGTGGTTGTAAATTTTAAAAATCCCTTATCTACTGGGTAATGTGTAAATGTTATTAAGTCAATTTAAAAATTGGCAACTGGGTAAAGTGAGCTATATATACCCGGCCCATATCTAGATTCTTTCCTCACAGAAAATAAAGAGTGCTATTAAAATCTCAATAATAAAGTAATTACTAAAATGAGAGAGGTTGTAATGCTTCTCAGGCCATATCGTTAATTTATTTACCGCTTTTAGGAAGATAGAAAACACCAATTTGTTTGTGGTAAAGAACACGTGAAATATGTATGGCATATGCATGGTAGAATTGAAAATTGCTTACCTTAAGTGTGATATAATATTTTAATTGCACCACGTATTATATTCACATGGAATAGTGTACCCTACCAAAGGAATTAATTTTAGGTCCCATATGGTTTACACAATGTGGACCTACAGTTGATTACATATTGATTATTCCTGTTATGTGATTTCTATGTGGTTAATTTGACAACACAAATATCCATTTAATAATTGTGAAGTATCATTAACTCAATCGTTTATTTTCTAGGGACCAGAAAGACTTCGTGCTTCAGTATTTGCTGATGATCCCCACAAAGTGACTGGATCTATACCCGGAGCTCCGGAAGTGAAAACAGTTTACGATACTCTAACACACGGACTCAAAGTTTCAAGTAAGACGCACTTTGTATATATCCCTGGACCAATTTTGGTTATAAAATGGGTCATAAATAGTTTTTTTTTTACAGCAGATGCAGTTTTTGTACTCAAATAAAATGTTAAAAAAATGTGTGCTTATGAGAAGCCTGTTCAAATCCATTATTTTGTACTTAATGACAGCTCCCTGATGACCTGACTATGTAGTATATCGAATATCGAAAGATAATTAAAAAAAATGTGTCTCCCCGAAATAAAGCCACAATATGTATGTTGCGCACTACTTACTAAATCATGAGCATCGATAATATAAATATGAAGGCTATTCATGACAAGCACCCTATTATTAAAAGCCAGCATTGAGAATATTTTCGAATATAAATGGAGGCATTGTCCGACTAGAAAACCCTTTTTTGACTACCTATTCTCTTTGCAGATGGCCATAAACGGATTTCTAGAAGTTTTTGATTATTGACAATCTCCATACAGACTGGAGGAAAGGTTAAGTGAAGGGGATAATTGAAACTTTCCCACACAATAAATGAACCTCCACCTTGCTGTATAATAAGGAAGAATTTATCTTTTTTCATGCTCACAAAACTGTCCAAGTTTTCTTAATTCTCTTATTTCCTATTCCATTTCGCTGGGGACAGCTTTCAATATGGGCTAATGATAAATTTTTTTTATATCGCAAATTTCTTGTAGAATATATAAAATGAAACAGCAGAGGAGAAAATCTTCTTAAAATGGTCAGCGATTTGGAGACTCATTACTGTTGTAGGAAGGCTTCGGCTATGGTGGTAATCTTTTGCGCAGCCTTTCCTCTATGCCGTATATGAAGATTACTAAAAAATACTAGAAGCTTTTTTAATGGCATTTGAAGGGAGAATTGTTGACAAAAATCGGATTTTTAAGAAAGAGAATGCCTTCATTTACCTTACAAAATCTTCAAATTGGTGACTTTTGGAAAATAGGGTACATGCCCTGAACAGCCTGCCATTTTTATGAATTCTACTTTCAAGAAAACGTGAAGGCTATCCTCCTTAAGGACGCCGAATATTAAAAAATAGCAGTTTCAGTCTGTGGCAGAATTGAAGACTGCCATGATTAAAACATGACATAACATTGATGCTTAGGATTGGTAAATAGTATGCACCATCACTTATTTCAAGTCATATAAAATGTAGCGGGTATTTTGTCTGTGATCAGAAGTGGCTTCATTTCGGTGGGGCACTTTTTCTCGCCTTTCTTACTTGTTTGATGTTTTTTTTCCCAGTTCAGTCGGAGCATTAAATGAGTTACTACTCGTGAATATGTGTTTAGATATAAATATAAGCTTAGATATTAGATACATCTTCATATACATGTTATGTTCTCATTGTTCTTCGCTGAGTTCAGCACAAAATTAAGGTGGCTTTATTTAAATAGGACACACTGTGTATATCTGGGTGTATATACACCGAAGAGCCATTACATTATGACCACCCTGCTAATAACATGTAGGACCACCTTTAGCCATAAAAACTGCTAGCACCCGCCGTGTCATTTATTCCACTAGGTGCTGATAGGTAGTCTGAGGTATCTGGTACCAAGCGCTCACCAACTGATCCTGCAATTCCCTCACATAGTACTACCTCCCGCGAGGGGGTAGCGTGGCAGCACGAATTTGGTTTTCCAAGTAGGACCACAAATGCTCTATTGGATTAAGGTCAGGGGTCAAGACATGACTTGAAAGTCACTGGAATGTTCCTCGCGGATTCGACCCTTATGACATGGTGCATTATCCTGTTGATAAACAGCATCCCCGCAGGAAAAACTGTTGCCATGAATGGGTGAACCTGGCGTGCAACTATGTTCAAGTAGCCAGGCCCGGACTGGGATCTAAAATCGGCCCGGGCATTTTGGAGATATCGGCCCTCTACTTCAGATAAACACCGTGTGCGCGAAGCGTACGTGACTCCTAATGCATCATTTTTAGGCATTTTTTACTTAAAAATTCTCATGAACGTAAGTTAATTTATCGAAATAAGAAAGTAGATTAAAATTGCTTAATAATCCTTTATAGAATATATTTCAGTTTAAAATACATGGTTCTTATGAGGAAACATAGGTTGATAAAATCAAAAACGTGAAAGATGAAGTTGTTGTTGTTGTTAATTTACGTCGCACTAGAGCTGCACGTTGGGCTATTGGCGACGGTCTGGGAAACATCCCGGAGGATGATCCGAAGACATGCCATCACAATTTTGATCCTCTGCGGAGGGGATGGTGAAAGATGAAGAGTAAATAAAAATATTTATTATACTGCACATACATGAATGATTTATCTAAACATTTTTTTAAAAATAGATTTAATGCTTCTTCAAAAGTCATTAAATTAAAATTTAATTTAATGACTTTTGAAGAAGCTCACTATTTTCTGCCACTTTATCGATTCTGTCGTCGCTATCTAATTTCATTAATAGATCGTTTTCTATTGCCATTACCATGAGAGCATTCAAATTACCCAAAGATAAAGTACTCCTCATTCGATTTTTAATTACTTTTAATGTGGAGAATGATCTTTCCCAAGCCACCTGACTTATTGACAATGCTAGTAAAAATTTTAATGCTGGACCAATTAAATTGTAAGAATTGGTCAATAAATTGAATATCTGTAATATCTTGTAGCAACAAATAACACAATTTTTGCACGCACTGCGTGTTTCACATTTTAGACTTACTTCTTCTTGTGTTTCCAAAGTAAAGTCGTTATTATCTTCATTTGAATGATCTTCTCTTATTATTTTATAATCTTCTAGGTCTGAATTTTTCAGTTTTTCCCAATGTAAAGCTAAATTTTTTAGTTCAATCCGCAAATTTTCACCTATAGCTGTTTCATTAAATTTTAGCAAGAGTTTGCTTAACTCATTTAGTTCGCCAGATTGAAGCTTGTTAAGACGTATTTCAGGGAAATGTTTCGGATCTAGATAGGAAATATCAGCGTACAATTTTCCATTTGCGGGAAACCGGCGTCCCATTGACGCTACAACTGTGCTGAAAATAATGTTATGGACGTTTATCTTAAATGCAGTGGTTTCATCATCAAAAACTGTTTCATTCGACGCTATCTCAACCGGCATGAATTTTCTTTTCTTCACTCTTTTTTGTGGAAACTTTGTTTGAATTTCTATTTCAGTTTCAGTTTCTTCAAATTCCTTATTTACGCGAATAATAAAATCATCTGTAACTTTTTGTACACCTTCAAAATCTCTCACTATTTTTTTTTAGTTCTGAACACGTTTGTGATACCATTCCAAAAGCTTTTAAGATGTCTAAACCAGAGGTTTGCAAATATTGGGAGAGCGGTGTAGTTAATTCAAATATTCTTGAGAATATTTTGGCGGTGATTACTGTTTCATATTTGCAAAATGATTCTAAAAATATTTTTGCCTTTGCACGGATATATGGCTTGAAATTTGAATTTTGTTGTATAGTCTCTAAACTTGTAATCAATGTGACATATAACGGCTTTATAGTTGAATCTGAGTTTGAAAATGACAGACATTTAGTAACAGACATTTATCTTTAGCAGTTTACAAGATTAAGAGCCCATTAAGAATAGCTGTTTCATAAAAATTCTTTAATTTTCCAATCAAAATATGAAAAAATATTGCATGAATAAATACAATATGTATTAGACAATTTGCTATACAAACAAATATCAACTTTATTACAATTTTTAATAGAAGACAATGAAGTGTATAGTGTATTCAAATATTATTCAAATTATTATTATATAATAATTATAATTATTATAATAATAATATTATTCAGATATTATTATTTTACTTTTAATGTTTTAGTACGGTATAAATTCGACAATAGACCCCCATAACCCCTTCGTCCTTATAGACCCCCTTTAAAGGTCCTTCGACCGGTTGGGGGTCGATAACGATCCTTAGGAAACCCCTGGAACTTAATACCTATACAATATAGAAATAAAAATTAAAAATAGGTACTTACCAAATAGAATTTAAAAAACACACAAAAAGAAATAATACATTATATTAAAAGTCTAGTGAAGAGTCACACACTGTAGAAAATTCTACTGGATAAAATAAAAGTTCACGTTTGTGCAATACTGGAAATAATAAAGAAAGAGAATCTTACACAGCACTAAAGACTCACAGTCGAACATTTATTTATTTATTTGATTTTATCATGTGTCAACAACGACATCTAACAGTATCTCCAGGAACTAATTTAATATTAAGTTATAAAATACAGGTGATTCAGACCATGCGTGCCACTCATGTTTTTCGAGAATTGAGCGAATAATAGATTTGAAATAAAAAATCTTATATCTAAATCTACCCCAAGGGATTCAAAAGTGATATTGTTAATTCCCGCAAGTAGCCTACCAGAATTACCAGAATTTGAACACAAATTTGATTTTTAAAATGGAAACCTATATCTTATTTGACATCATTGGAGAGAGTTTTTGAAAAAAAGTAACTTTTACTTAAAATACTTTTTAATATCTCTTACTATTTTCAAGATAATAGATTAAAAAAAAATACATATTAAATAGATTTTGACATATTCATTAAAAAAACTTTTTTTTGTCATAATGTCTTATACCTTCATTGAAACACATTTGTGCTTTTCTTCCCATGTTTTATAAAAATTGAAGCGATTTTGATAACTTAAGTTAATTATTTTTGGTAAAAATGATAAATTGAAGTAAGTAATCAGAATTTTTTCGTATCTATTATCTTGAGAACGGCAAGAGATATAAAAAAAATTTCAAGTAAAAGTTACTTTTTTTCGAAAACCCTCTCCAGTGATGCCAAATAAGATAAAGGTTTCCATTTAAAAAATCAAAATTGTGTTAAAATTCCGGTACTTCCGGGAATTAGCAATATCACTATTGAATTCCTCGGGGTCGATTTAGTTGTTAGATTTTTTATTTCAAATCGATTATTTGCTCCATTCTCGAAAAAAATGGGTGGCACGCATGGTCTGAATCACCCTGTAAGTTAAAACAATATTATTACTACATGTATCATAAATATGTTATTTAATATTATTATTATTTGCGCAATATTATTTGAAATTCATGCAATGTATAAAAAAAATTTGCGCTGCTGGTTCGGCCCAACCGGCCCTCAGGTCAGACCGGCCCACCGGGCACTTGCCCGGTCTGCCTACTGGCCAGTCCGGGTCTGCAAGTAGCTTACAGACGTCAGGGATTGTTCTATGAGGATTATGGGTCCTAATGTGCCCCATGAAAACATTGTTCCATGTGCAAGAAATCATGAAAACCTGGGCGAGCCCATTGTTATAGATGGAGGGTGGTCATGATGTAATAGCTCTTTTGTGTATATGTGTGTATATATATGTAAGCGTGTGTGCATGTGTAAATTGTTTTTAAAGGTTTCTGCCGTTCCTTACACAATAGAAAATGTTAAAATTCACATTATCTACTACATTTCGCCCCAGATCACGTTCTTATTGCTGTTAAAGAATAAAGAAACTAGCGAAAAGTATGAAACACAGTAAAAGTAAAGCACTCTAATCAAATTGTTAGACAAAAATAAATTAAATTGATATAGAATAAAGAGAAGAGTCGTATAACCAATTTGTTTACAAAATTTCAATCATTTAAGTCAAATTTCTCAATTTCAGTCATCATAAGTATTTTAAAAAATGTTGTTAAAAAGAGCCTTCTCTTTTCATGTAGGCAATAGTTTGAAACTTTAACGAATAATTCCGCTTCTTTTTTTTTCTAATTTAGATGACGGCCCCTGCATCGGATCCCGGCCACCAGGTTCTGAAGAATATCATTGGCAGTCATACAGTGAAGTAATTAGACATTTTTCTCATTTATTATTCTTTAATAATTATTCTATATTTTTCATTCTGATGCTTGGAAAATAGTCCTCATGATTAAGCATGATCAAAAACTTAGCAAAAATATTATATAATTTAGGTTCCTGGATAAATTTAATATTATAAAGAACCTGGATAAAGATAAGCACTCAAGTAAATGCAGTAAAAGAAAAAGGAAAACATCTTATAATCTAATATTCTTATTCAATTCTTATACTGCAAAGTTTTATTTTCAATACATTTAAAACTCATTGCGTGCAAAAAATAAATAAAAAATTAACAGCTGATAATCCATCGACTGGATAAAATTAGAAATTTATTTTTTCCTGGTATAAAGGTATGTCGTCATTTCCGAATTGATGCTTACTTTTGAAAGTTTAGCTGCAAAACGATACTCAGCGCTAAATACAATTTAATCTCAAGATATAAAATTTAAGATAATCAATTGAATAGTTCCCAAGAAATCAAATTTTAAATAAAGGACTTTTTAAAATTTATAGCTCAAAAAACTATTTCACCGTTTGTGCTCTAAGTTTGTATTTTGCCATTCAAAATTAAATTCTTTAAAATTATGTAAAAAATTGTATTCCTTGCAAATCAAATATTTTTCAACCATCATAAAATAAAATAACGAATATGTATTAAAATTTTTTTTAACATGGAATTATCTTTGGAAAAACTACTTCAAAAATTCAGTGCAAAATTTTTTCGATGCAATTAAAAAGTTCTAGAAATATGGCGAAATACGTGAAGGGTAAAATTAACATTAAGAGAACATTTGACCCTTCTCCTGTCCAAACTATTACGATTCTATTTTCCTGATTGCGGCCACCTCCATATTTTGAGGTTTAAGAATCCAAATCCGTCGGAAAGAAAAATATGTCAATTCAGTAAATAAAGTACGTTTTTGTGAAAGAATTCGCCATTTACAATATTGTCTACATTTAGCATATTTTAGGTTAGATTTTCGAATCAATAAGATTGAGTCCTGGTCCGTATAAATCCGATTTATAGATCTGAAGTTATACAAGTTGCTCTCTTTTTTTATTACTTGCATTGTGCACTTTATGAATGAGCGAAAAAGTAGAATAATTAACGAAGTTTTCTTATTTGCTAATTAATTGCTTTAACCTCCTTTGGATTGAATTCGGGGCGGGAATGACTGGCACAGTTTCGTCATCTAAAAAATGAGCATCTATTAAAAAAAATAGTCAAGTCATCTAAAATAAGTGGAAGATTTTTTTAGATGTTCATATATATTGATTTTAATATTTTGATGAATTTTTAATTGAAATGCTAGGAAGAGTACAAAACCTTCGTTCTAATTCACAGGGTCTAAAATAGAACACTTTCGCATGTCTTTAGTTCTATTATGCAGTCTAAATACAGTTACTTTTGCTTTTACCAACAGCTGATCATTTTAACTCATCCTTGGTTCTATTCTGTGCAACTGAATAAAATTACTGGGCATGTCCGTGCTCTTTACCTGCAGATGTAATTAATTTAATTTAAAAAAAACTGTTGGCCGGGATAGGTTGGTTGGTAGGAAGTTCGGCGTGTTCGTGAGAGCGTGAGTTCGATTCCCGTTGGCTGAAGAATCCCCGTGTATTAAATGGTGACTGGTGTACGTTGAATCTATCGGGATCACAAAATCCTCCAAGTTCCCGTAACAAGTCAATACCTTTGGGGGAGCCGCGATGGCTCAGGGGATAGAGCGTTCGCCTTCCAAAGAGGCGAACTGGGTTCAAATCCCAGTCGATACGAATTCCGCATCCAGCTTGCACCGACCACAGTGCTGACGTAAAATATCCTCAGTGGTAGACGGATCACGGGTTAGAGTCCCCTTGCCGTCAGGCTAACCATGGGAGGTTCTCGTGGTCTTCCTCTCCATGCAACGCAAATGCGGGTTAGCTCAATCAGAAAAGTTTTCCACGAAGACAAATTTCCCCCAATACTCGATCCAGGAGTTCCCTTGTCTTTTGTATTGGGTTCAAAATTACAAGGCTACGCAGTTGAACATTAGTAGTCGTAAACCCATAAAATTGGGTCGGCTGTTCAACGATGGTTATAAAATGAAATGAAACACCTTTGGGGGTACTGAATTGGAGATTGATCGTTCTATGATTTAGGTCACAATTACGATCTGTGGATGAATGAATGGAGGCATAAATTGGACAGCCCTTTAAAATGGGATGTGACGCGTGTGGGTGGGGTTTTCAAATTGTATTCTTGACCATAGATGGTGCCACTGAAAAACAAGAAAACACCCTAAGCCTTAAAAATTCGCTTGATTTCAATTAGGCTTGTTGGTATTGGCAAATGCCGTAAGTAACAACAACAAGGGATGTAAGATAAGTACTGTTTGTCTAAGATAGGTACTCTGCCAGACACTCGTCTGGAGCTGTGGCGGTGACTATGGTAACGAGGTATGATTATTTTAAGTAGGGGTGCGGGGTCCCTCCTTAGGACTGGTTTCGGCGAGTGAAAAGGCGACCTCTTCATCGAAGCTACCTTCCCTAAAATGCCTTCTTCTTGCTTCCATAGCAGCAGACTGCATGTTCGAAAATCGAAATGTATTTTGCAGCAGAAGAAAACCTGCTTTTTTAGTAGCGAATGAGTGCACCATGAGTGCAAAAGCTAAGCAGAATTGGAAGCTTGTGAACATAAAAATAAGGTGAGGTACAATCTTTAGTTTCTATCATTAACGCATAAACTTCAAAAGTCATTTACGTAATGTGACTTAGATCATTCGTCATCACTACGATTACCTAAAAAAGGGAAAACCTTTTTCCAATTTCAGAGAATAATTAATTGTATTGTTTGAGTTTTAGCTAAAGCTGAGAAATTATTAAAATTTATACTTGAAATTTCGAATTTTTAGGAAAATTTTTTCTTTGTAATAGTGTGTACTACAATTCTCTAAAGAAAACAATTTTTTTCTAATGTAGGTGCTTGCAAGAACACAAAATATCGGATCTGGGTTAATAAAACTGGGCCTTAAACCCGTGAATGACTCTTCCGTAGGAATATTTGCAGCTAACAGAGAAGAGGTAAGTTGAACTGATAGGGCAAAATAAATAAAAGAGATAATGTTTATTTTTCCATTTAAATTGAGGTATTTGTTTGATAATAATGCGAGTGATAAAAGTTTGACGCTTCGTCGTGGAATATCTTATCTCTTAGGAGGAGCATTGTCCTGTTTACCTTTTCTATTTTTTCATTTAAAATATGCTTAAAAACCACTTTGCAAATCATTCTGCATTCGGGGTAGAAGAAATTTGTTTAAAAAATGAAAGAATATACGACCGAAGGTGATATGTTACAAAAAGCAGTTTTGAGAATGCTGTTTTTGAAGTAAGCCATTAAAAAAAAGAGTGATATCTTCACTCTTTTTTTTAATGGCGCGGTGATTTAGGTCTCTTAAACAATGCTATGGCTTTAATGAAACTAATTCATACTGAAAAGAACTTTTTTTTTTAAAATTTGTTTTTATTTTAATGTTGCATACCTCTTTCACCTATGTAAGGATTGTAATATTACGAATGGCAACAAAAACATTTACTATCCTGCTATATAATTTTAACATTAACATACACAATTCAAAATTCTCCATTTTGATGTATATAAATACTGCTATAGACTGAGAAGTAATTTGATCCTTAGTTTTTTGATTTTACATTTGGGTGGGTAGTAAATTGCTATAGCAAATCAAAATAATAATGAACATATAAGGTTTTAAAATTTTTAAAGCTTAACTCAGTCTTGTCTTAAGAATGTTAGATTTCATATCAAAAATTTAATTGTGAATATTTTTTATTTTTATTTTGAATAGTTCGCAATATCTAGACTGAATTATTATAAATGCTGTAGAGAAAAAGATCTGAATTTACTTTATCGTTTATTATTGAAATTTTTGATAATTTTCTTGCTTTTTTTTTTACAGTTTTTACTCTCCATGTATGCTTGTTCTGGTTATTCAATGGTCTTGGTACCCCTATACTTGACCCTTGGTTTGCCATCAATTCTTTACATCATCAACCACGGTAAAAACTTTATTTCGAAATTCCTCTTCATTTTGCCAATTTCATTCTTCAATGACAACTATTTAAATAAAAGCAATGATTTTAACTATGTATGAATATTGAATGATGATGTCGCAGGATGGAATGAAATCGTAGACAATACGAAAATCTTCAAATACATCAACCATCCAATCAGAAATTGGAACGTTATTAATTCAGAAATTATTGTTACTTTAATGAATCTTTTCATATAAGAGCCATGAATAAAGCTCTATGTAACACAATGGTCTAACACAGTTTTCTATTATTGTCGGTATATTTTTACTATCCGAAATATCACATGGTAGGATCCAGTTTTTCCACAATAATTTCCTCATAGTTTTGATTGTCATAAGGATAAAATTAACGAAAAGCATAAATGTATCGTTTTCCTATGAAATATTTTTGTATCCCTAATTTAAAAATATTTACCCGTAATATTTATTTTTTTTATTCTACTTTGTTATTATTACGTTTTAGATTATTTTCTATATTAAGAATTTTAAACTGAATTTTTTTTATTTATCCATATTATATAAAACGCTAATACGTATGTATCAATAAAACCGATGATATTTCTTTTCTCGCGTTGGCAACAGTTTTCATTTTTAATTGATAGGCTTCGGCGCGCAAGAGCACGTAGTGAGCATCATATGGCTGATCTATATTATATAAAACGCTAATACGTTTTAATTTATAGGCTTCGGCGCGCAAGAGCACGTAGAGCACGCGCAAGAGCGCAGCATATGTCTAATCGGGTGAATTCTCACCGAATTCTCAAAAAAATTCTCACAAAATTATCTTCATCGAAGCCGATGCTTTACACCCGGCGTTCAGAATAATTTCATATTTTTTTACAACACATGGTTTTAGCCCTCGGGTGGGAAAGACTTTAAAACAAAACTTACAACAATTACTATTCTCAACAACTGAAATTTAGAATTGTGTGATTAAGAAAAATATGTGAACTGTTTGGAATTTCAAATTAATATTGAAATGCACAGGTTTAGAATTTTCTACAGTTAAAAGTTTTCGGAACTTCAGTGTTCAAAAAAGTATACAAAAGCTAGACGTTAAGAACGTATCCAATGAGCCCGCAAAGCGAGCATCGGATTGCGGAGCAATCCGAAATGAACTGCGAAAGAAGCTCCGGGGGTTGGCGAGAGCCAGCGAGCAGGGGGCGAAGCCTCCTAGTATNCTTTTCTCAACAACTGAAATTTAGAATAGTGTGATTAAGAAAAATATGTGAACTGTTTGCAATTTCAAATTAATATTGAAATGCACAGGTTTAGAATTTTCTACAGTGAAAAGTTTTCGGAACTTCAGTGTTCAAAAAAGTATACAAAAGCTAGACGTTAAGAACGTATCCAATGAGCGAGCAAAGCGAGCATCGGATTGCGAAGCAATCCGAAATGAACTGCGAAAGAAGCTCCGGGGATTGGCGAACGTCAGCGAGCAGGGGGCGAAGCCTCCTAGCTATAATATAATTCTATGACCTCTTAATGCATATTTTAAGATATTTTCTATGTATTTTGAAACAAACTTTCTAAATCGGTGCCTAAATTTATTAACCATGCAAATTACATTAATATAGTATTAAAAATGAAAGTTTTAAAGAGATCTGATCATATTTATGCACAGTGTGACGCATGCACGATTTATATTTAATATATCAGCCTGTTTATTAAACAAAAGTATTAAATTACGGTTGTCCACTTATCAAATTAGTAATAACAGTAAACCTTTAATTTTAAATATTTTTCTTAAAATGATTGCCAAGCAAAATTATTCATGTTCACTGCATTTATCTTAACAGAATCACCAGGGAAATGTTTGGGCGTGGAAAGTGGGGACAGCAGAATTGTTTTTAGCACATATAAAGTGAATAAGTTCGTAAAAAAACTGTTTTATGTCAAAAAAACAACAATTATTACGAAGCAATCATCGAGTTGGTGAGCGACAGCGAACAGAGGGCTTAACCCCCTTAGTTAAAAGTAAATTTCGATATGCTTCCCTTCCTGAATGTGCAAATTCTTTTTTTTTCTTTTTAAGAAAACAAATATGTTTAATGGAGTGAAAAAAACTGATGATTTTTAAGATTCTTTTTAGAGTAAAGTTCAAATTAAAAATTATGTCCGTAGAGGGAGTTTTAATGCATCTTCTTAAGTCTAAAAATTATTGCACAACACTATCCTCTTGTAGACATAAGTTGATGTGATTTGGATTAAATACATTCAAATGTACGTTCAAAGACACGGCAAAATCGTCTATTTTGAAACTGCCTCCGATTGGAGCCTTACCTCCAATCACCTGTTGTGTCCCAAAGGAAGAATTTTCCATAGAATATGATGTATATTTTATAATATGAATAATTTTCTAGCTTGCAACTCGAATCAATAAAAAAATTAGCGTTATAGCACGTTCTCGTGAATTATTTATCTTTCGTTTTCTGTGTTAGGTTATCAAGAGTAAAATCAACCTTAAAAAATTCGTAACTAATGGGAATGACGTTTCATCGAATTCGCATTTCAAAAGTAGAGCCCCTTAGGAGCCTTATTCAAAACTAGAGTCCCTGAATTCAAAAGCTATATGAAACCACGTGTTTCGATGCTCTTTTATGACGTGCTTATACAAATTTAAATATATAGGATCTTTGATGGCGATGATATCATTAAATCTATTAAATTAAGTAGAATGAGATGGGCCGGGCATGTAGTGAGAATGAGCCCAGAACGAACAGCATTGAAAGTCTCTAATGCAACCCCCTCCAATAAAAGGCCAAGAGGNAAAAGCTATATGAAACCACGTGTGCTCTTTTATGACGTGCTTATACAAATTTAATTAGTGGAAACTCAACAAAAGCCAATGAAATAAAATTATCTCTTAAGCAACCGAAAAATTATAGTAAATAATAAATATCTCATTTTAAGTGGTAATGTATGGTTAATCTTTCTCTTCCTGAGTTGAACTTCCCAGATTATGGTAAATCAATTTGCCGGAAGCTGTACCGCAATAGACAACAAATAATAAAATAAAGGGTGTATATTAGGTGTCATAAATGTGTAGACTGGGGACATTAGCTTCCATTTCAGTGGGAAGTAAAAATTCTATTACCGCAAATACCTATATTATGCACCTCGCTGAAATAAGTTCTCATAACCACAGCGCTTATAACGCAGAAAGTATTTAATGCCCATTTAATTAAGCATTACTGGCATCAATAATAGTTTTGCGATTTTTTACGACCTTCGATAGATGTACCGATATTAGTTCGTTCGCGAAAAATGAGTATAAGAATGTTAGTGTCGTTATTTATGTCGTTAAATATAATGTTTTCCACCTGTATTGTACACATTACTTATTTCATATTGTACTTTATATTTTATAAGCCATTTTTTTATGCATATATCAAAATTTTCAATAAAAACCTGCTGACCGGACTCGTCTCTAGGCTGGGGTGGAGCCGAACCAGTAGCCAAGCTTTGGGATATATGGTAAAGGGTCCACGACGACCTAGGTACATGTCCAAAGCTTGGAGAAAAGAAGAAAAAAAAGAACAGTGTCGTTACTTATTTTCGAAAATACAAATAACTATTTTTGGTAGGTAATAGGTGCACAAAGAAATATGAAGAAAAAAATTGTATTAAAATACTAAACTTATGGAGAAAAGGAATTCATGTATGTAAACTGTAAGAAATTGACATATTGTTAATGTTTAATTAATTTTTGGTAACAGGTTTAAATTGAAATGAGAAAATTAGTTTTACAGTTAAAAGCTAAATTAAAATTAAAAAAAAGGTACTTCTTCCTTATGAAAAATAAACAGAAATCGCCTGATTATCATTGCCGACAATGATGTTTAATTAGTTTTAGTAGCGAGTACTACTTGATTGGTGTTTTTTTTTCTCCTTTTAATAAGTACTAAATATACTAATATTGCTGTCAAGATATCTTTGTTGAAATAAGTTTTTACTGGGCTACCAAAGGGATATGTACTGTAGAAAATTGCTGATTATGGAATCAGGACTTGCCAGTTATTTAACAGGTTAATGGACTATCAGGATTTGATCTCGAGCAACGGCTTTATGTCGAATAATACTGAATATTTATAATCTTAATTTTAAAAGAATGATTTTCAAAAAGCATGTTTAGTTGAATTTAGTAACATAAAGCCACAGCGAAAGACACAAAATAATTTTAGGAAAATGATAATTGTTTTAGTTTAATTAACCGAAACTGTGGTATATCTTTCAGTTTTGTACATTTGTTGTGCCTCGCGCGCTTTGCTGTTTAATACTGATTTATTGATCTTTTACTTTTTTCCCACTCCATATGAAGAATGGATATTCGGCTGCAATTTAAAATAGCAAACAAGTTAAGTTTCAAGTTTAATCTTAAACATTCAAGAATTCAACTTAGCTCGTGTCTGTGGAACCTGTGCATGTAATGTTTACAAGTTTCGATGTACACCTGCGTGCAATATGTCCATAAGTTCTGATAACTACCTGTGTATATTATCTACACTGATTCCTATGTACACCTGTGTATATTATCTACACTGTTCCTAGGTGCAACAGTGTATATTATGTTCATACGCTTACGATGGTTAAACAATCCTTCGCGAAATTAAGATTAAGTACCTTTTATTAATCGTTTAAAGTTTGATGGAAAATTAAAAAAAATGGCAGATATATGAATACATAAATTTCTGTTCAGATGCATGAACTTTTAAATAAAATAAATCGCGTGATCAAATAAATTTTTCGAATTTTTTAAATGCAACGCGAATTTTTCTATCTTTTTAATGGAATTAACGGTATTAAAATTAAGTGATGTAAGAATATTAGCTTGAATAATATTATAATAGCTTCTTTAAATTAGCATCATACAAATTTTGAAATAAGAAGCATTGTCCTCAGTATTATTTGAGTACATGCTTAAGAAATTTTTAGATTACGGTTAAATAAAAATGTATTTTTTTC